ACAATGCCATGAACTCCAATAAGATTTTCAGGGTCTTTGAAAGAGAAATCACCACATGGCATGACAAACCTTTTACCAAAGTTGTCAGTGCACACAGATGCTTATGGACATATTCCTCCCTTGTTCACATATAAGCCACCTGAGGTGTGTGTTATTTAAAAGCTCGATCTGACTCTCACTGACTGAAAGCACAAAGTTCATGTTAAAGTTTCCATGTACTGTAATGGTTGCAGTGAAGACTCTTGAAATCCCTAGGTGCCACACTTGACTGCAGTTGTATGAAAGTGAGCTTTTCTCTCTCCAAGTGTGGCAACATAAACTTGGATCCTTATCAAGACTGTTTTAAGCCTGTAATCTATTACTTTGGCTGTAGATACAAGCAGGTTAAGGCAAGTTGTAACCATCTGCTGACTGGTGAATGTCATCACACATTTGTCTTGCTTCAAAAACAGATTTTTTATTGTCCTAACAATTTCCAAAAGAAGGTCATGTCATATTCAAATTTCAGAGAATATTACTATTATTTCAAAAATGGCCTTAGTTTTATTTTGCTCAATCAGTTAGGAGTGACAAAGAGTTTAAATACAGTATATAATGTCATGATTTTATCAAGAGCTCGGACCCACATGCAGAGAAGCCAATACAGAGAGACCAGGGAAAAAGTTAAACAGGTTTATTGAGAAGCTTGTGGAGATTCCAGTGTTGCTCTGAACACTGCTCAACCAGAACTGAAAGGTGAGGGGAAGACACTGCAGTTAGGTGAGGTTCAGTGGGAAGATTGATTCTCGAACTTATAGAGGAGAAATGGTTTGCAGACTCACGTTTCCAGAGAAGTGGAAGACTCTTTGACTCCAGTTGGTGTGGGGTGTTCCAGTGTTTGTCTCATCCGATGGAGGGCGGACGGAGTTTACCCAGAATGTGGTTGTTTGTAGGAGAACGGAGAAACTGACTGCCACTCAGATTTCCTGCGTTACTTGAACGGACTGTGGTGCAGATGAATCCCTTGCTCAGTGTGAAACTCAAACGATCCCTTGGAGGAATGTGGAACCTCCTTGTTGGGAGCTGGAGTAGTACCATCTTTCTCCAGCAGAGTCCGCCGTGGATCCTCCTGAGCAGAGCCTCCTTCACAGCTGCTGCTCATTACCATCATCAGAGGATCCACTATATAAGCTGTCTTCAGACCTTGCCTCAATGTCGCAGTGTTGTATTCAGTTGGAAACCTGTTTTTCTCTTGTGAAGCTCAGGAAGAGCTTAACCTGCCGAGTCTGCCCTCTGAGCCAAACCTGAAGACTTCTCTCTGAATTTCCATGCAGCTCTGGACCAAGAGCTGGAAACTCAAAACCAAGGTCTGCCCTCTTTCTAGATGTAAGACGCTGAAGCAGCAAATGGACTCAGCTGAACAAACATTCCCAGGACCCAACAGTTCTCCTCCCAAGGCGTTAACCAAGAACCCTCAAGGTACAAACCAGAAACCCTCAAAGTCAAGCTCCTCTGATTCTACGCTAACTAAACTGTCTCCCACGCAGACTCCAGTGAAACAGTTTCCCAGGCCTGAACCCGAACCTGTCATAATCTCAGTGCTTATTGAAATAAACTCTGTTAAACCTTTACTCCTGTTTCCGCCTCAGTGGTGTTCTGCATAATTGGGTCCCCTTTGAGAACCCATCATGACAGAACACTGCGACCAACAAATATTCCCAGCGGAACCCCTCTGGAGGCTTCTGAGGGATCTACCGACCCAGGTTCAGAGCCTTGATGCCTCCCCTCCGTGAGAGCCACAATGAAATGGCTAGGAGATTTGAGTGCGTCATTCGTGATGTTCACGACCGGCTTGCAGGCAGATTCCTTGGTGAGCTCAACACTCTATTTCATAAGTTTTCGCAGGAGTTTTCCAGACAATCAGCTCCTAGAGCGGAGCCCGTCCAACTTCCGTTTCCGGAACCAGAGCCTGTCACGTCACTTCCGGAATTTCGTCCGTCTCTCCCAGAGAAATTTTTAGGTATCCCAAGCAAATGTAAGGGATTTTTGTTTCAATGCCGACTTATTTTCCAGAACTCTCCAGTCAGCTTTTCCACGGATTACAAAAAGATAACCTTCATCCTTACTCAGCTAACAGGAAGAGCCTTGGAGTGGGCTCAGGCAAGATTTGCCACCGACGATAGCCTTAATTGCTATTACTCTGACTACATCCCCAAATTTACTCAAGTTTTCAACCAAGATTCTGACCAAACAATTGACTCTCGTGCTCTGTTAAATCTTAAACAGGGAAATTCCTCTGTAGCGGATTTTTCCATAGACTTCCGGGTTAAAGCTGCAGCCTCAGGCTGGAATGAGTGTGCACTTAAGAGTGCATTTTTCAACGCTTTAAACGAGAATGTAAAAGACGAACTCGCCACACTCGAGACACCTGAGACCCTGGAGGAACTCATCAGGCTGACAATTAGTTTGGATAACCGTCTTCGAACCAGATCTAAGTCAAAGATTAAGAGCCATGTTTTTCCTGTTTCTATTTCTACGGCTAAGAGAAGGGACACCCCTTCCTTTGTTTCTCCCGAAGAGGCATTCAGCACAGAGAGTCGTGCCCAGCCTGAATCTATACCTGTGTCTAAAACTCACTTTGCTCCACCAGCTTGTGAACCTACTGAGGGGGAGCCAATGCAGATAGGTCAAACTAGGCTCACACCCGACGAGAGGAAGAGAAGGTTTAAGGAGAAACTTTGCTTTTACTGCGGGATACCAGGGCACTTTGTTTGATCCTGTCCAGCCAAGAATAAGATTTGGAGCTCGTCTGCGATTATGGGGAGTCTGGTGAAGCATCAACTAAATAGAAAATCCTCTCGTCTTCTTTTACCTGCTACCCTGTTCTGTTCTGATCAGACTCACACTCTGTCAGCCTTCATAGACTTTGGTTGTGAGAGAAACCTTATTGACTCTAATCTAGTTCAACAGCTAAATATTGAGACCACCCCTCTGAGAAAGCCACTTAAAGTCTCAGCGATTGATGGAAGGAGTCTACACCAGGTTACCCACAAGACTCTGCCTCTTCAGCTTCAAGTTTCAGGTAGTCATCGAGAGACTTTAACCTTTCTTGTTTTCCCATAAGCCTGTTCTCCCTTGGTTCTGGGATATGAGTGGTTGGAGCGACACAACCCTCATATTAATTGGACTCATAGACACGTTGAATCGTGGTCTCCCTCCTGCCATGCCTCCAGTCAGTCAACCAGTCCCCGCTCCGCCGAACCTTCTGGAGTCCCTCTACGGCCGATCCGAGCATCCAGGGGCCCTCGGTGGGCGCCTCAGGACACCTCGGAGGCTGCACCGGAGTCGTCGTGGGCGGCTCTCTCCATGTTGCAGCCAGAGCTGCAGTCGGCGGTCCTCTCTGAATCAGCTCTGGTGCCGCAGTGGGCGGCCCCGCCCTGCACCTATTTCTGAGCTGCTACCGGGTGTCTCCCGGTAAAATATTAGAGACTTTCTTTGTTGACGTCCACCTTTTGTGGATTGTTTTTTGTTCTGGGACTCAGTTTTGTTTTTTCCTTTTTCTTTTCCCCTCCGTCCACCCTGGGTGGGTTGGTTTTTTGTTATGGACTCTACTTCTTGCCTACCTAGTATGGTGCCCCCTGCGCCCACCCTTGGTGGGTTGTTTTTTTTTTGTTCCCTTGTTTCCCTAGGTCTTGTCTGAAGCGTCTGGAATCCGCCCTTGAGGGGGGGGTACTGTTGGGAGCTGGAGTAGTACCATCTTTCTCCAGCAGAGTCCGCCGTGGATCCTCCTGAGCAGAGCCTCCTGCACAGCTGCTGCTCATTACCATCATCAGAGGATCCACTATATAAGCTGTCTTCAGACCTTGCCTCAATGTCGCAGTGTTGTATTCAGTTGGAAACCTGTTTTTCTCTTGTGAAGCTCAGGAAGAGCTTAACCTGCCGAGTCTGCCCTCTGAGCCAAACCTGAAGACTTCTCTCTGAATTTCCATGCAGCTCTGGACCAAGAGCTGGAAACTCAAAACCAAGGTCTGCCCTCTTTCTAGATGTAAGACGCTGAAGCAGCAAACGGACTCAGCTGAACAAACATTCCCAGGACCCAACAGTTCTCCTCCCAAGGCGTTAACCAAGAACCCTCAAGGTACAAACCAGAAACCCTCAAAGTCAAGCTCCTCTGATTCTACGCTAACTAAACTGTCTCCCACGCAGACTCCAGTGAACCAGTTTCCCAGGCCTGAACCCGAACCTGTCATAATCTCAGTGCTTATTGAAATAAACTCTGTTAAACCTTTACTCCTGTTTCCGCCTCAGTGGTGTTCTGCATAATTGGGTCCCCTTTGAGAACCCATCATGACACTCCTGTTTGAATCCCCAACTCAGTTTGAGGCTCAGTTGATCCTTCCAGGGAGAGAAGGCCTGAAACGTCCAGTTTGCAGGATGACTTTCTGCCGAGAGGCAAAGACAAAATAGTAAGATTAAAACTCAAGGAATAAGAATAAGCAAGACAAACACACAAAAGACAAACCACACAGACAGGAGTATAAAAAGATGGATATGAATGTTGAGTATATAGGAAACGTAAAACCTTTAATCATGTTTCATTTGAATTTTAGAACAATAGATTTTATCAAATCTTGCGTTAAAGTCTGGAAAAGCTCAAATTCCATCTTCTACTCCCTATTTTAAAAATATTTCTTTTTTTTAATCTGTTTTTATAATCTGTTTATAATTCACCTTCTCTAGGCGTCTATGCTATGCCAATGTACATTTCCTTTTCATTTCTAATGTAGCTACTATGCTTTGAACTGTTTTGCCACTGAAATGTGCTACATAAATAAACTTGTCACACTTTAGGCCTATATCAACCCACTGGATTTTAAGTAGGTTCATTTTCCCTCCCACCATCATCTAATCAATCAGAAAAAGGTGAAATAAGTTATTCTAGGAGCTCATTATGCGTGGAAACGATTATGACGCGCGTCTAAATGAACTTTTGTGTGCGCTACACTGCAGCTGACACTGCGTCCAAACTTGGCGGAGCCCCCTGTGGATTTACTGGCTGAACATCCACATCCATCAGGAAACTTCACACTCAGCTGTTGTCCGTTTGGGTGAACCTCCAGGGGATAAAGAGAGAGTCTGAGAGAGGCTGAACACCTGCAAGGACACTGCGGACTGCCTTCTTTTTATTCAATCCAGCCTCATCCTTCACCAGCTTCGCATTTCTCATCCAGAGGGAGAAAGGGAAGGATGAGCGCCTCTCTTCCCAAAAGCGAGTCGACCACCTCTCTGTTGCGCTCATCAGGGCTCAGCCGCAGGCTTGCGCACCCTGATCCCGCCGCTGCTCACCGGCTCCACCACCGCATTCACCACCATCAGCATCCTTCCAGAATTGGAAGCAGAGAGGATGCACCCTGGTCGGATGACTCTGAGACAAGTGCGCGGAGACCTCTCTGCCAGCCGCGACACGCTGAGTCTCGGCATTTAGTGGAGCATCTGCGAGTGCAGGATGGTTACTCTCCACGGCAGCCGACCCACCTGGAGGATCATTGTTTCCAGGAGGGGGATGCTAGAGGCAGAGCGAACAGGCTTCACCATAAAGAGCGCAGCAAGTCCTCCAGATCCAATCCTCACTATCATCAGCACCACGACTCCCCTCCTGCAGAGATCATTATACAGCAGGGCGACACCCGGCAGGACAGGAGGACTTCACCCGCTACCTCTGTCTCAAAGCCCTCCAACGAGGCGGATTTCCTATTCGAGCAGAGCCAGAGAGCTGTCACTGGGTCCACTTCTACTCTCAGCTCAGACTCACCTGCGGCCAGCGCACCTGTCCGGCCAGCATCACGCCGCAGGACCAAGAGACCTGGCTCTGCGTCAGAGAGCGACTCTAATCTGCATCCTATAGTGAAATCTGTTTTTGGGCAGGTAACAAATCTTTCAAATACTTCAAAAACTGCTATACATCCAAACTCCCCCCCAAAAAAGATATTAAGTCCTGGAGTAAATCAGAGAAACAATTCTCTGTTCATTCATCACAGCTCCCCTTTAAAGCATAAAAATGTTCATACACAGCGATGTCATTTTTTTTAATTGTTTGCCAAAGCCATGCATGAGACACAGCTAATATTCAGGCATTCCCAAACTCGTTCCTCAAGGCCCCCTGTCCTGCACGTTTTAGAGGTTTCTCTGCTTCAGCACAGCTGGTTATAATGATTGCAGTAGACCAAAAGCCTGTTAATCAGCTTTCAATTAAAATCAGCTGTGCTGGAGCAAGGAAACCTCTAAAACCTGCAGGACAGGGGACCTTGAGGACCGAGATAAAAGCAGTCTAACCAGATAAGACCAAAATTAAACTTTCTTAAAAACAAACAACGAGCTGTCTGTGACTAAACATACCATCCCTATTGTCAGATACTGAGGTGGAAGCATCATGTTTAGCAAGACTTTTTCCAGGAGGGAAAGGGAAGCTGATCATATTAAAAAGGTGATATATTATGGTAAATAGGCATTCCCATAAAAACACCTGTTAGAGGCTACACAATGTGGGGTATATATATATATATATATATATATATATATATATATATATATATATATATATATATATATATATATATATATATATATATATATATATATATATATATATATATATATATATATATATATGATTGTGTGTGTGTGTGTGTGTCTGAAAACTATGAATACATAGTTAAAGGTGTAGGTATATATTTGGAAAGACCTAACCTCTCCACCTTTGCACATGAACAACCCTGTAACCGCTCCATAGAGGGAACGCCTATTAAATGCATGCAATAGCGTGCACAAGCCCACTTCTCCTCGTGCACGCTGTGTTTAACAGTTGCTGTTTGCATCGCTTATACACGCTTATTTTCCAAAAGAAGATTTGCAATTTTTCCACTATGTCAGACTCCCCACTGGTAATTGAAAATGAAGATGAACACGTAGGACAGCCTGACGTAAATATATCACCAGAATGATTGACAATTAGGAAGTACCATTTATTTTGATGATCCAGCCAGAAAAAGAAAATCCTCCACTATACCTTTATATAAATGTGTCAAGAGCTGATATTTCCCATTTACAGGTGCTCCCCATCCACTAGACCCAATTACAAACAGCTTGCAGCAAATTATGCACAATGTTTAACATTCAGATCTTAATTAGACTTATACAATCAAAAGAATTTCAGATGAGGGAACAGTTAAAGGTTTAAATTTACAAAACAGAATATAGGCATTGAGATATCACTGTCATAATAGAAAATGCTGAAATATTATGAGAAATGTGGACATGAAAGCAATAGTAAAGATATGAATACAGTGTTTCAGCTCTCTGGTTGTTTAACTACAGCCCTGATGGTTAGTGAAAGTGCTGATTATTCTTCGGGAGGTAAAAGGCTCTCAGGTGAGATGCAGGTCACCCTGCAGGGCAAAGCAGATTAAAAATGAATGTTGAAATCTGGTTGCAGCCTGTGTCTGGTGTCCGTTACTTTTTCATTCATCCCAGTATGAATGCAACGGCTTTCATCAGGTCTGTCACCTGAGCAGCAGGACAGGGATAAACTTACCTGCTCTATGGAAAATGTTTGCATAAATGGAAGCTTGCCAGTTGTACATAAAACCAGGAGGGATGCTGTTATCCACACATAGATTAAACACATTAAACATTACTTAAAAAAAAAATTGGATATTTCCCTCTTTGCTCTGAAAGCTCATGCAGCAGCGCAGTGAGATTTCCTACCCCTCCCCAATCAGTCTCATCCTGACCCGCCTCTCTTTCATCTCCTTCCCAATCTTTTTCTTCCTTCATTAAAATCCGTCTTTCTGTGTCGATGATTAAAAGCTCAAGAGGAGACAATTACCTCCCTTTGCACTGATACGTTCCAGAAATAACTCTGTCAATTAGGCCAAAGCCTCAGTTAGTCTTGGTTGGTTCCAGAGAGGAAACATCCCTTCAACTAAGTGCTATATAAATTTGAAACTGCTGATGTGCAAAACAAGAAGAGCTAACTTGACATTTATTTTCACAAACTTCAAAAATCTGTATCTTTAATTGTTAATCTAAATAATGTATGGCTGGAATACTGGGATGTTGTGAACACATAGAAATTATGCAGCTTTAATTGATTTAAGGAGTATTTATTTAAGGTATGGATTTTGAAAGTACGTCCTTTTAAAAGGTTGTAATCAGCTACAGTAATATCTAGAAAACATGGTGATGTTTAAAGTCTAAAGAAATATACTTTTATAGACCTCTCTCTCCTCTGTTACACTTTTTAAATTGTCTCGTGTTTTGTTGCTGAATAGCACCAAATTGCTACAGAGAGGCAGGGAACAATTTCTAAATTTTAATATTTAATGGTAAAAAAAGGTCACCAACTACAAATTGACTGAAAAGGAAAAACAAAAATAAGAAAAACCTAAAACCTCAACCTGTAACAGTTTTATACAATTCTCTGCCTCTGTCTTTTCCTCTAAATTCTGATCAGTTGAAACTAACTTGTAGGTCTAAAACCTAAACAGACTTTTATAATCCTCTAAACATCATAGTTGTTTATCCAAATGCTATCTTATGAACCTTTAAGCCATTGCCAATTTTTAATCAGTTATTTACAAAAGGGGCCGTTGTTTAAACAGAAAACAGAGTTAGGATGGAGTGTTCCAGGAAAGCTGCTTCCAGTGTGAAAAACATTCTGTATAATTCAGACAAGTAGCTCCTGGAGGCTTTAAATAATAGTTCAATTTGGATAAAGTAGTTATTTACTCCGAGGCAATCATTTACTACATATTCTCTAAACACTTTCTGACTTATTTCAAATACTTAATTTAGGTTGCCATGTAAACAATAATTGGTTTCTTTGAAAATAACTGTCCTATGTAAACGTTAACATTTCTTGAAGTTAATCAAATATAACTTTGAGGTTGGCTCTTCTCAAGCTACCTGACAGCTTAAACCTTTAGGATCAACTTATCTGATCTGTGTAATAAATAAAGACAAGGAGCAGTTATCTGTTGTGCTTCAGGTAAGATATAAACTTCCTATTTAGCACTGCACATCGAGCAGATCAATGCATTTTTTAAGCTAGCACACCAGGATTAAAAGAGCGGATTTTTTAGTACAGCAGTTCTAGATGCAACAGCACATAAATAATATTAAATAATGATTTGTAGTTGTCAGATTTTATTTTTCAATAAAGGACCATGTAAATGATGTATGCATGGTATTGAAACAGGAAACACGAGTTGCTTTCTCCTCGCAGCGATACAGCAGCATCACAGAGAATCCAGGGTGAGATGTCAAACTCTGAAAACTCTTTCATTCTCTTATGTAACATAGATCTCTGTACAGTCCCAGCAAAACCCACTTGCCTCGAGTATAAAAGGCTAAAAATAGTCCATCAAGACCTGGTTATGAGGCTGGAGCACAGCAGTGTTTTCTTTCAGGAATTAGCAAATAGAAAAAGGAAAGAGGGGAAGCACTTCAGCCAACATGCTAACTGAAATAGATTAGTGAATACAAAACTGCTTTTTGGTATGAGCTGACATGTGGCTTCCCAGCTAAAAGTATACAGCCCATATAATCAGATGCAATCACCAAAAGACCCACTTTGAATCACATGTGCTGATTTATCCGGGAAAGAACCTAATGACCACATATGATGTCACTTTTCTGGTACAATGTATTTTCCTTGGTAACAATGTTCATGCGGAGAAAAAAAAAAGCCCACAGGATACAGGACATTAACTGCACCAAACAGAGACAATGAGACGCTTTAGAGATAAATAAATTTCCCTCCAAAACTTCCAATTGGTTTTATGATTAGCAAACAGCAGTGTTTTCTTTTATTAGTATTATTGTCATGTCTTAATTAGGGAAAACTTTACAAAAATACCTGAACAAGTTTATTTGCAATTCAACCTAATCCCTGTTTAGCAAGTCTTCTGGATGGATTTCTTCTTGGTTTTATCACTTTTCAAGAAATAAAATTTTTTCTCGAATCAACTGAGATATTTCTCCAAGCTCCTTCCATCTGTAACTATAGATGGAATCATAATGACAAAGCAGCAGTTTAAATAAAGTACGGCATCAGTGGCTTTGTTTAAGTTACTAATACAATCTTCTTTAAAATGCCATTTTCTGTATTTAAAGTGAACTAAGGCTGCAACTAACGATTATTTTGCAAAACAATGAATCTGTCGATTATTTTTTCGATTTATTTGATTAATAATTGGATTGCAAAATGTTTCTTTAAGAATATTTTTTACTAAATCAAACCAGGTGAAACTAAAACTTTTCCACTTCAGTTCTGTATAGAGCATATTGACAGACGAAGTATTATTTATCTTAAATGCAAAATGTTTTCATATATTTTTTTTTCAATCTTAGTATAATTGCTGCTCTAAGTGGGTTGTTCTGTCCTGCTAAATGCATATTTTAGAGTCTCTAAACTCCATTTAACAATTTATGAAAATTATTTCCAATTATTTCCATAAATTGATCAATCATGATTAATCTGAATAATTGTGTCTGCCCTACAGTGAACACAAACTATGAAATTGCTTGAGATTTTACAGTTATTTAGACAACAGCAGGAACTGTGTTCCTTTTAGTAAAAAAATTTGTTTTTAAACCAAAACAATCTGGTCTTAAGAACCTGGAATGCAATGGAGCTCTAAAGGGAATGTTTAAAATTAAAGTTTTCAGGAAATCCTATAGTATCCAGCAGAGGGTGCAAGCACCTATAAGATAAGGCTTCAGAATATATGTCAGCGTGTGAGAGAGTAGCAACCCTCTGTGTCTCATAAAAAAACTCTTGCATGGTTACAAAAAAATAAAACTGGGTAAATCTGAACAAACTATGTTCTTATTGTAAAAAGCTCTGAGTTCAGATTAAAGGAGAT